CCCCCGGCTTGTACAGTAATTTTAAAATTTGGCTTAAATAGATATGTTCATTTTTTATTTTAATCTCATTTTATACCTTTGTGTAGCATTTGCACAAAGCTTGCTCACACAGCAACCAGGTAAAACACGCCCGCAATCGTGAATGTTTAGGGAATCAAAGATTTGAGACTGATGTTTTGGAATCAGGGATTAGGAGTCTAAGAACCACCTTCTCCACATGCTTGCTAATGCGTTGGGTCAGCTGCACTCTCTGCCTGGCTGACCTCACAGGGTTGTTGGGATGATAAAGTTGGAGAAGGCGAGGAGCATGACACCTATTACGGGCTGACTTTGGGCCAGTCATTCTCTCTCTCTCAGCCTCCCCTACCTCACAGGGTTGTTGTGAAGATAAAAAGGGGAAATAGATGACAGGTTAGTGGCAATCAAAGACAGACAGCTTTCTCCACTGGGTGCCATCACAGATAGGGCTGCAAACTCTTGAGCTGGGAAATTCCCAGAGATTTCAGGATGTAGGGAGGGGTGGGACCTCAGCAGGGTGTAATGTCCTGGGGGTCCACCCTCCAAAGCAACCGTTTCCTCCAGGGGAACTGATCTGTATCGTCTGGACATCAGTTCTGATTCCATGAGATCTCCACACCCCACCTGGAGGCTGGCAAACATAGCTGCAGAGGGTTTTGGGGCTCAGACTGCAAACGCATCACCTGTCCAGATATTACCTACAAAAATGAAGTGGGAAGCAACCCCAGGTTTCCAGCCTTGATTTCCCTGCTGCAGGGGCACGCATCACATAACTGTGACAACCTGAAGAAACAAGGCCAGGCCAAGTGAAAGGCCAAAGGTACTCTGCATGTGCTCAGAGACGTCGCTCCTTGAGGTTCAAAAATGAGGAGCAAGAGTTCAGATCCCTATTTTGTGGCATTGTGGTTGGTCCTGTTCAAAAGATTGTCCCTAACATGTCCTGAAACATCCTCCTCCGCCCCGTCATGTTTGGTATTTGATATCCAGGCTGAAAAAGTAAAAGATACCGCAGCACAAAGGCTATCAAATGCTCAACATTTACAGAAATGTTCTTTAAAAACCCAAAAAAAACCTGCTTTCTTTTGGAGCTGTCCCACCATAGAATACCAACATCAACATTTTCATGTTTGGATTGGGAAACTTTATTTCTCATCTTCAAGACTGCAGAAACACTGCCTGTGTTCTTCTCAGCCATCATCTTAAATCCACAGCAGCAGTTCATTCCAAGGACCGATCCACTGTTTCACATTTCAGGATGACGGAAGAACAACTCCAATGCAGCACGCGAAAGCATCCAAAAAACGTACCCTTGAAGTATGCAGGACAGCAGCAGCAGCAGCGGCAACAAGATTCTCGAGTGGACCCTCACTGCCAAGAGAGGAATCCCCTCCCAGCTCGGTCCCTACATTGCAACGGTACAAATATTCTTTACAAAAATTGGCGGTTCGTCACGCATTCACAAAAGTGACATCCAAACCGCTTGTTGAAAGTGACAGCACCCTGCGTTCCTCACAGTCAAATAACTAACAGAGGACGGGTCCGGCCCCCTGAGTTACTCTCCAGTGATTCATGACACATCGAGCAATTCGTTCTATTAAAAAAACAATAAAACATTCTAAACATTCTTAAAAAAGGAAAGACAGAAAGATCACGGATAAGAACAGGCTGAACGTAAGGAACAGCATGGGGGAGAATGCTTGATCTTGGCACGGGGACCTTGTTTTCAGGTAATGATCCACGGTATCGGCCAGTGTGAACTTTTTGGGGTGGTAACCCAGTTGTTTCCGGGCCTTGTCTATTCGAAAAGTGTGAGTGACCGTCAGATTTCTGATCTGTGGGAAGAGAAGGACAGAGATGTAAGCAGCTGACACTCTTGACAAAAGAAAGCAGACAGGAACGGCAACTGCTGTGCTGCAAATGGGGGTAAGAGGCCAGCTGACCCCACAAGTCTTTAATAGTAAAGGTAAAGGTTCCCTTGCTCGAAAGCCAGTCGAATCCGACGCTAGGGTTGCGGTGCTCATCCCCGTCTCCAAGCCGAAGAGCCAGCGCTGTCCGAAGACATTTCCGTGGTCATGTGGCCGGCATGACTAAACACCAAGGCGCACATAACGCTGTTACCTTCCCACTGAAGTGGCACCTATTTATCTACTTGCAATTTCTTGCTTTCGAACTAATTGGTAGGAGATGGAACTAGCAATTAATAATTACCTGCTTTTATTGATTGATTGGTTTATAAAATGTGGATATGTTGCTACCTCTCCAGATCCGCTCAGAGCGGCTTACAACTTACTTTACTGACTTGGCTTCTTTCATTGACCTCATTGGCACAATTTATGTTTTTGACTTGTTTCTGTTGCATCGGTTATGCTTTCATAACCAGTGCAACAGAAACCAGTCAAAAACATAAATTGTACCAATGAGGTCAATGAAAGAAGCCAAGTCAGTAAAGTAAATAAATGAATATAGTTTCTATCCACTGCCTATTTTGAGCGTGTGCATTCTATTTTTTCATTAGATTTTTTTTGGCCAAGTGATTCTAGAGTTGCCAACCTCCAGGTGGGGGCTGGAGTCCCCTGAAGAAAATGGCTGCTTTGGAAGATGGACTCTATGGCATTGTACTCTCCCCAAACTCCGCCCTCCCCAGTCTCCACCCCTAAAATCTCCAGGAATTTCCCAGCCTGGAGCTGGTAGCCCTTACTGTACCGCAATCAGTACCGGATTTTGCCCATGTCATGTTGCTTTCAGGGACCGTTTGTACTCCTTCCCACCCCCAGGAATTTTTTCCAAGGCTTTGGCAAGCAGCAAGTGAGCAATAGCTTAATTTGTCAAGAGTGATGGATTCCCTGAGGCTAGAAAGGCGCCTAATTACATAACATACTACTGATTCTTTTTGAGCATCATCTGTCTTTGCAGATTGTGCTTTAGTGAAGCAAGACGGTGAAGAAAGAAAGCTGGTCCCACCCCAGCCAGCTTTTGAAAGTGATGTAAAGGCTGGACTGAAATGAAAAAACACACAGATGAGGAATCCCATGACACGCAATCCCCCTGTCACCCTCATTGTATGCAAGTGAACATCTGGGGGGGGGGTCAAAACAGACAGAGGGCACTAGCAGATCCAGGACTGGGTCCTTCTGGCACCCTCTTTTCTCACACTGTCCTTGGGGGAAAAACACAGCAGAGCAGGAGAAACGTACAAGAACAAAATCCCTGCATGAAGAAAAGTAGCATGTCAGGGAAAGGCTAGGCCAGAATCCTTCTCCCTGACACCCTTGCTTTCTACATGCATGTAGTGTGCACGTGAGGTACACTCACGCATGTGAGGCCACAATCTGATGTTTAAGCGATACCAATGCAACGCCTCAGTGAGAACTAGGCTTCATTCAGGGGCTATGAACCATTCTAAGTAGGGTACCTACAGCCTCAGTTCCGATTATTTCCTTCAGACAGAAAACCTGTTGCTATTAAACCATGCAAGAATATATGGGGTATTTTTTTTACCTCGTTTCTGGTCACGATGGGTGTGAAGTTGACAACTGGTTTAAGAAGCAGGTGTAGATATTCCAGCAAGGCAGCTGTAAAAGACCATTTCTACAGTCAGTTTTATTTTTATAGATCCACTTCATTTATAGTTGGAATCCCACAGCACCTTAGAGACCAACAATATATAAGCTTTTGGAATCCTGACCTGAATGGCCCAGGTAAGCCTGATCTCCTCCGATCTCGGGTCGGCCCTGGTTAGTCCTTGGAGGGGAGACCAGCAAGGAAGAAGTCCAGGACGGCTACACAGAGGTAGGCAGTGGCAAACCACCTCACGCACACAAGCTTTCGAGAATCAAAGTTCCTTCATTCAGATATCATTTATAGTTAAGGGCAGTGTTCCCTCCAAGCTGAGCTAGTGAGAGCTAGCTCACAGTTTTTTAGCCTCCAGCTCACACATTTTTGTGTTAGCTCAGGAAGGAGGGCTCCAGAGCAAACTAATTTATGCAGTCGCCGAATCGCTGGCTCGCAACTTTAATGCCAGTAGCTCACAAAGAATAATTTTTGCTCACAAGACTCCACAGCTTAGAGGGAACATTGGTTAAAGGTAGCATTGGTAACAAGAGCCAGAAACAATTGAGGCACACACAAACAGGGTGAATATCCTACCAGTGCTGGACTGTGAACATTTGTACTGACTCAAGGGGAAAGTGGGGTTCCTGCAAACCAATACTTGCCAGATACCTAAATAAACCCAAATTAACTTTCTTTATTGGTAGCTGCGAGACAGTGGAAGGCTGATGGGCACAGGATCATAATACAAAGTTGCCCAGACCACTGGTCCATTTTAGAAGGTTCCCAGCTCTGGGATGGGAAATTCCTGTTGATTTGGGGGTGGAGCCCGAGGAGGGCGGGGTTAGGGGAGGGGCCTCAGCCAGGTATGGGTATAAAGGACTTCAGCCAGATAGCCCAGCCTCCAAAGCAGCCATTTTCTCCAGGGGAGCTGATGTCTGTAGTCTCTAGAGATCAGCAATCATTCCAGAACCCCAGGCCCCACCTGGAGGTTGGCAAATCTAATTTCAGCACCATCTGCCTAAGAAGCTGGTCCAAGGGTAATTTTTAAAAAAGATGTTGGACTTAGAGTAGAGTCTCCCATCTGTTAACGTTCAGTTACAAGGATCTTTTATCCTCAGAGCCAAAGACACAAAATCCTAAACTAGACACAACCCAAATATTGTGCGACTACTTTATTTCAGCTGCACAGAAATTCAGATGTTAAGGCAACAAGGCATGTCAATGAAGGGTAGATACAGTGATGGGGACCGTAGGGATTGGCTGCGGGAGTTCTGGACCCAATGACTGCTGAGGGGCCAGGGCACAGAATTAGCTGTACTACTTTAACAAACACTGTGCAGTCTGTGCTCACTCACTTCCTGAGGGGAAAAAATCCAAAGGGTCTTGGAAGGGAACAGGAAAAGGCACTCAGGAAATATCTGGGGACTTTAGGGGTGGAGCCCCCAAAGTCTCCTGGCTACACCCCTAAAGTCCCCCAGATATCTCCTGAGTCGGACCTGACAACCCTACTGCCCAAGGAGAGCTCAGCACTTTGCTAGTCAGACAGCTGGTAGGGAATGACCTGTGCCTTTTCCTGTTCCCAGGGCTTTTTTTGTAGAAAAAGCCCAGCAGGAACTCATTAGCATAATAGGCCACACCCAACAGCAGAAACTCATTAGCATATTAGGACACACCCTTGACAGCACAGCCTACTAGCATATTAGGCCGCACCCCCCATGTTACCAGAAGTGTGGTCATCCAGCCACACCCACCTTTTGCTTCTTATTCTGTTTACCTTTTGTCAAAACCCAGGGCCTTTTTTTGTAGCAGGAACTCCTTTGCATGTTAGGCCACACACCCCTAATGTAGCCAATCCTAATGAGTTCCTGCTGTTGGGTGTGGCCTATTATGCTAATGAGTTCCTGCTGGGTGTGGCCAACTCAGGAGCCAGCCAGAACTCCATTCCTGTGCGTTCCTGCCCCAAAATAGTCCTGCCTGTTCCCTTCCAAGACCCTTTGGATTTTTTCCTCAGGAAGTAAGCACGACGTTTGTTAAAGTAGTACAGCTAATTCTGTGATGTAACTAGGGTTTTGTGATGTCACTAAGCTTGCTTTTGTGATGTCACTAGGGTTGCCAGGTGAGGCTGACAAGCTGGAAGGGCGTTCTGGCTGTCACATTTAAAGGGACCACTTTCCTTTAAAATGCTTTCCCTCCATTGGACATAACATAGGATGGGGGCACCTTCTTTTGGGGCTCATAGAATTGGACCCCCTGGTCCAAACATTTTGAAACTTGAGGTTTTGTTTCAGGAGAGGCACCATCAACTATGCCGAACATTTGGTGCCTCTACCTCAAAAAACAGGCCCTCCCCTGGAGCCTCAGATACCCACAGATTGATTCTCCATTATAGTCTATGGGGACTGGTCTCCATAGGGTATAATGGAGTGCCCAGCAGCTCCCCCCCCCCCCCCTCTCTATGACCCCCAAAGTAGATGGGGATTGGCAACCCTACTGGGCAGGCATGTCTGTTTGAGCTCAGGGATCAATCTCTTTCTTGGTGGCCACGCTGAGAAGGAGCAAACATCTCTTTCCTCAAACAAAAGAGCTGACCTGGGCTTTCTTCAGCCCCCATGAGGCAGCCGGTGCTTCAGAACAGGCCAAGAGGCATTGGCTGGGCATCTGAAGGAACAGCCCATTCAGAAGGCACTGCCTCTGTTACAGGACTACACGCAGCTTGGCACCTCCTCCAACATTTTGTGTGGTTGGCCACACACCCGTGGCAGGCATTTTGTAATCAGCCCCACCCCCACTGCAGCCATTTTGCAGCCGTGTCTCTTAGCCTTTCTCAAACTTTCAAAAGGACATCCCAGTTGTTTAGCAAGTTTTAGAAACCCCAGCCTAGACTAACTGAGCCTTTTAAAACCCCTGGACCACGTTATCAGAGTTTTAAGAAGGAAAAGAACAGCAGCACAGTTAAAGGATAAAGTTTGTTCCTGGTTATTTGATGAGGGCTTGGGATAAAAGTGGAAGAAAATTTATTTCTTCTCTTTCAGCACGGGATCTAATAAATGATCCCAAGTTCAACCATACTGAGGGTATTGGCAACTAAGAATGTCATTACCCACGAGGAATTTAGATTAAGATTTTGGATTTTGTACCCATCTCTATCTCATGCCTTTCCAATATGGCATTAACCCAACAGGAGAAATGGTTAATACCAATGTAATAATTAAAGGGAGGGGGCTTTTGGTACATTATATTTGGCTCAATCTAGATAAAAGGAGAGAGACTTTTAGAACATTATGGAAATGAAATCTGGGAATGGCAGTTGTTGACCTGACTCCACATCAGGGTATTTAATCTTATTATTTTTTAATCATCCATGGCTTATTCAAGAAGTGAGACAAATATAAAATGCTTTATAGATTACATCTCATCTCAGCCAGATTAACTCAACAATAGAAATACAGCTAGATTTAAATGCTGGAAGTGGAGTGTGGATCTTTGGCAGGGTTGCAATCGAACCCAGGGTGGACTGCCCTGTACTGAACATGGCAGTGACAAAATAGCAGATGCCGAGGTGAGTATCGACTCACTCATTATTCCTTTGAATTACTTGGAGGACTGTGATCGAGAAAGCACATGACTCGTTTGAAGTTTACTACCGGCAGCTACAGCGATTTAGGTGTGATCTTGGGGAAATGGCATTTATGCCCAAGATGAACTATGAAGATGGTGGTGGAGAGTACCATCAAGTCCTAAAGTTGCCAACCCTGGGCTGGGGAATTACTGGAGATTCTTAGGAGGCAGCATGTGAAGGGTATGGGTTTGGGGAGGGGGTATAGTGGGGTCCACCCTCCAAAGCAGCCCTTTTGGAGGGTGCATCGAGTGCAGCTGTAATTCTGGGAGTTCTCCAAGCCCCACCCGTGGGCTCTCCATCCTATGCAGAGACTTGAAGTGCATTGTTGGCATTTATGATATAGGCTTTTCCAGGGCTCTTTTTGTAGAAAAAGCCCAGCAGGAACTCATTAGCATAATAGGCCACACCCAACAGCAGGAACTCATTAGCATATTGGGCCACACCCAACAGCACAGCTCATTAGCACATTAGGCCTCACCCCCATGTTACCAGAAGTGTGGTCATCCAGCCACACCCACCTTTTGCTTCTTCTGTTTACCTTGTTTGTGGTCAAAACCCAGGGCCTTTTTTTGTAGCAGGAACTCCTTTGCATGTTAGGCCACACACCTCTAATGTAGCCAATCCTAATGAGTTCCTGCTGTTGGGTGTGGCCTATTATGCTAATGAGTTCCTGCTGGGCGTGGCCAACTTGGGAGCCAGCCGGAACTCCGTTCCTGTGCGTTCCTGCCCAAAAATAGCCCTGGGCTTTTCAAGGCAAGAGACAACTGTAGGTGGGTTTGCTGTTCCCTGCCTCTGCAGAGCAACCCTCGGGACGTCTCCCTTCCAAGTCCTAACCAGGCCTGATCCTACTTCGCTTCTGAGATCTGAGGAGATCTGGGGAGATCAGGCTAGCCTGGGCCATCCAGCGCAGTCAGCTGGGGGGGAAGGGGGGAGTCCAGCGGCACCACTGAGCCTATTGCAGCATAAGGTTTCCCTGAATCAGTGCTCACTTCATCAGATGAATCGGATTATACGTGCATTATACGTGCATGCCTAAAGCATGATCACTCCAGTGCCTCTGACAGGTGCGCGCCGCTTCCCAGATGTTGCGATGTGATCACGCCCGCTTGATGCGCCCCCGATCCGTCCCTCTTGCGGATCAAATCCTCCCATGTGACCGGGACCATAGTCTACCTTTCTCACTGAGACTCAAAAGCGGATTACACAACATAAATCAATGTACTCAATAGGATGGTACCTGTAATAAGCAATGTCATAAGACTTAGGAATCACAGAAATTTGAAACTGGGCTTGTCATCTGAATAAAGTGTAAGTATTCAACTTGACACATTAAACATTACAGAACATGGTATTACCTCAGCAGAAAAAACATACAAATTTGATCAAATGATCAACTCATCATTATCTGATTAAGAATCCTTTGAATCAGGCAATAGTTAATTTCTAGCCATTTAGGTCCCCAATTTGAACCTGAGCCGCAGTGCATGGGAAGAAAAACCTTTTCCCAAATTGAAACCATCTCAGGATCAGCCTTCCATTAACCAATCCAGGCAGGGAATTTCTCACCCTCAGGCCCTATTTCCCGCCCTCAAGGAACTGAGGAGTGGGGAAAAAATGGCCTTCACATCGTGACACTCTAGAATTTCCCCAGTCTGATTGGTAAAGACCATAGAGACTAGAGGAAGCAGCCTAGAATAATACCCAGAAGTGACATCACAGCCTTTCCAAACTGTGCCATCTGCAGGCACTGCCTCTCAAATCTCCCAGCATTTGCCAAGGCAGTGTTGGGATCCTATCGCAGGGCACTGGTATTTGCCATGTTGAGGAAGCGTATTCTCTCCACAGTCCCAGTCTGGATCAGGCCCCCCCCCCCCCCCCCCCCGCCACAATTCAGTTTTAAAACTGCAGGGAGCTTTGAAACAGGGAATTTTCAATGCACACTGGATTTGACCTTCTAGGATATGTCTCTGTAAATGGCTCCCGAATGGACCTGCAGTTGCCATTGATTGTTGAGGCTCTTTGGCTGTTTGGAACGCCTTTTGGGGGTGGGGAGGGAACCCACTGATGAGACTCCCAACTGTTAGCATTATAGAGATAATTTACCTTGCTAACAAAATAGACAATGTTCCCTCCCACCTTTGCAGGCATTGGATAATTATATAGATATACAAAAAGCTGCTCTAAACTTTGAGACCTACTGATTTACAAAAGGATTAAAATTGTTGCTGGCGCAAGCCATAGTTACAGCTTGTGCCACCAAGCCTTCTGAATCTTGCAGGAACAGAGAGCCCTAGTACCTACCTGGGAACAATGAGGACCCCACAAATTATTCTCATGAGAGAACAGAGGGCTTAAGTCAAAATCCCATAGTAGCTTTCATCTCACTGACTCCAGAGAACAGCACATGCACCAAATAGTGGCCAGCCCACAGGATGGAGTGACATTTACCCACAAGGCAAATTCCCAAACACAGCAGCGAATGCTCGTTTTACCTGTTGCAGTAACAAAAAAAGCAGGAATGTGTATCTGCGGCTTCCTGTAGCCCAGTTTTTCAAACTGTAGGGGACAGAAAAGAAGAGAATGTGAGAACGAAACAAACCTGATTTTATGGCATTGGCCAACCAGGTGGGAAATAATTTGAACAGAAGTGGGGCATAACATCCAAATCGCAAGATGTGATCGTCCCGCTGTACACTGCATTGGCCAGGCCGCACCTGGAGCATTGTGTGCAGTTCTGGAGGCCTCACTTCCAAAAGGATGTGGACAGAATGGAGCGGGTGCAACAATCGCATCAGCTGCCTGGGGAGGTGGCGAGATCCCCCTCCCTGGCAGTCTTTAAGCGGCGGCTGGACAAACCCCTGTCAGGGATGCTCTAGTCTAAGCTGATCCTGCATTGGGCAGGGGGTTGGACTAGATGGCCTATACGGCCCCTTCCAACTCTGTGATTCTGTGATTCTAGGGTGATGAAAGTGAACGCCCTTGCCAAGCTATGACGCTCCCCTTCACCCAGTGATCTTGGGCAAATAACTTTCATGTCCTGGCCTACCTCACAGGGTTGTTGTGGGTCTCAATCTGTGCTTGAAGTGGGATTCCAGACAGGCAGCTTGGAGATCCCTTTTGCCTCAAGACCAGACATGGGGGAGGGGGGGGTTGCTTGATCAAGGCCACTAGATGGTGGCCCATGATTGGGGGGCGTGTTCTCTAAAGCAAGGAGGACCTCTGTATGACTGCCCATTGGTCAGTACATAACTGCATGGTCATGTGGTACTGAGGTTAATGGGCAGCACAGTGATGTGGGCAGGCACACGACCCTTTCCCAGAATATCAGAAGTGGCCTCAGGCTCAACAGTCCTGGGGAGCCCTGTTCTCACCACTAAACCACACTGTCACAGTGGCCTCCCTCTCTCTCTCTCACACACACACACAGGAAGTATGTCCCCTCGGTTTCCTCAAATAAAAACTAAAAGTCATAAGAACATAAGAACATAAGAGACGCCAATGTTGGATCAGGCCAAAGGCCCATCCAGTCCAACACTCTGTGTCACACAGTGGCCAGAAATACCAGTGCCATCAGGAGGTCCACCAGTGGGGCCAGGACATTAGAAGCCCTCCCACTGTTGACCCCCCCCCCAAGCACCAAGAAGACAGAGCATCACTTGCCCCAGAGCCCCTAGCTATACCTTGTGGCTAATAGCCACTGATGGACCTCTGCTCCATATGCTAGTCCTTCATACCAGTGGGGTTATCCATTCAGAAAAAATGACATTCTCGCCATCATTTATATAATACGCCTGACCACTCTGAGAGGAAGAAAGGAGACAGAAATTAACAACAAACAACGTACAGGATCGAGAATGATGTCCCTTCCTTTCTCTTTTTCCCCCCAACTTGTTTTTTTTAACATGCGCATAATGAAGTGCCAATTTTTTAAAAAAAGACCTTTTTCATTCATATCAGAGTCTGAAAAGAAAGATTTCCCTTAAGATGGTCCTTTAAAAAGTTATAGGCTTCTTCTGATACCCAGTTCAATCCGATGCAAGCAACTACAAGAACAGAAAGGAAATACTTATTCTTTAGCAAATACGTCTAAAACCAGGATCCAGGATCAGTACACACTGAAATAACAAATACAGGCCCCGGTCACACGAGCGGGGAAAGCCACGGGGGAAGTGTGGCTTTTTAGAGCCGCAACAAACAGAAGCGCAGCAGCGGGATCAGACAGGTCCCCCGAGGCTCTGCGCTTCTGCCGGCAGCCACGATCACATGCTGCAGGGGAAGCGACGCTAAGAAGGGCAAGGAGGGCCAGCCGCAGCAGTTGTGCGCATGCGCAGTTCGCCATTGCCACGCATACCACGGGATAACTGCGTGTCGGCGATCCCACGACCGCTGATGCTGCGTGTCATCCGGTACGTACTGCCCTTTCACTAGTCTCTTTTAGATCCGCATCTTCGGCCAGATGTTGGCATCTGATCATGCCGGTTTAATCCGCCCTCAATCTGTCCGTTTCGCGGGGCAAATCCTCCCGTGTGACCGGGGCCACAGTCATGCAAAGGTTTGTTTCATTATTTGAAGCAGGTGAGAAACCTCTTTAGGATCAAGACGGTTAGCCGCATTTGTCTGTAGCAGTAGAAAAGAGCAGTAGCACCTTAAAGGCCAACAAAATTTGTGGCAGGGGAGGAGCTTTCGTGAGTCATTAAAGAACTGAGCAGTGTCTCACAAAAGCCCATCCCCTGCCACAAATTTTGTTAGTCTTTAAGGTGCCACTGGACTCTTGCTCTTTTCTACTCTTTAGGGCGGTTGAATGTACGTAATCTAGGCAGAATTTCTGGTCCCCCCTCTGTTTGTAGCTTTGCATACAGAGACACACAACACAATCGCCATTTACACTGAAACAACCCCTGTAAGGTTACCAAAAAGTCTGCGTGAACAGAAATAGTTTTCACTTGACACCTAAGCCAATAGTTGTGGGAGGAGGGCATTCGAAAGTCAAGGTGCCACCACAGAAAAGGTCCCGTCTGAGGGGCCCATGGCAGGAGTCCCCAACCTTTTCAAGCCTGTGGGCCCCTTTGGAAGTCTAGCACAAGGTGGCACGCACAACTGCAAAATGGCAGGTGCCAGGCAATAGAGCCAACCACAAAAAGCCAGGGAACGAGGCTACGTATCACTCTCATAGCACCTCTTCAACATTTCAAGCAGAAACTCTGTCTAAGGACACACAAAGGAACACAGTGAAGCCCCTTGTGCCGGGGCGGCAGCTGTTGCTGAAGCAACTTTTTAAAAACCTGCATAGCCAATCAGCTCTCCGATAGCCAATCAGCTCTCCGATAGCCAATCAGAAGCCATGATGGGCAAAAGCCTCACCTGACCCCGTCCGCTTGGCGAGCCCCAGGAAAGGTGTCAGTGGACATCACGGCATTCGCAGGCGCCATGTTGGGGACCCCGGGTCCATGGGAATCAACAGTCCCCCCCCCCAGTATTCCAGCCACACTTTTAAACCCTGAGCAGCTTTACTTACAGCGATGTAGCCTCTCTCAGCCGTTAGGGCCGCAGAGGCCAAGAGATGACCTTGTACGAGGTTGCGGACGTGGACCCAGTTCATCAGGATGTTGGGATTCCAAAATTCAAAGCTGAAGAGCTGCCTTTGGATGTTCTTCTGTGTAAAGGAACGTACATGCTAAGGTGAGTTAGCTCTGTACACAGGTGGACTTGGGAGCAGAAGCAAGCACGCTGGCCCCGCCCTCACTTGTGACCAAGAGCACATGCCCTGCTGCCATCTATGCTCATTTGCCTGAATGCGGACACGGCGCCATGGCTCTCTTGCCATGCTCAGGAATGCTGCTGTTCTAACATCCCTCATCACAGGGACAGAGACTATGCGTGCAGGGTAGGGGCTGTGGCTCAGAGGCAGAGCCTCTGCTTGGCATGCAGAAAGTCCCAGGTTCCATCCCCAGCATCTCCAACTAAAAGGACCAGGCAGGAGGGGATGGGAAAGACCTCAGCCTGAGACCCTGGAGAGCTGCTGTCAGTCTGAGCAGACAATAGTGACATCGATGGATCAGTGGCCGGATCCAATATAAGGTGGCTTCATGTGCGTTCATGTACTGCTTGTGCCTACATTTGGGCACATGTGCCTTGAAGGGGCAGGGCATGGGCTCACAGCTGTGAACAGGGGTGGGACCCAGAGCACTGACTCCGGCTTGTGCATTAGGACTCTGATTTTTCATTTTGGGGGGGTTGGTTTTAGGCTTTACTCCCCTCTCCCCCTACATTATTTAATTTTCATAAGCCTCAAGCAGCAAGCGAGGCAGATTGTTTCCCCTCAAAAACCTCCAGAATTACTCAGTTTCCCCTGCAGATGTTGGCCCTTGAAATCCCACGGCCATGTGGGCAGTATTTACACAGTTCAAGTTGACAAAATTGCTCATGAGCCCTGGAACTCAGCTTCTAAGGTCGGCAAAAGCCCAGTTTATAGCTTCTGGCAGGAAGCACTGTCAAGTCACAGCTGAGAGATGAGCAGAGGCGTTCTGCCATTGCCTGGCCTCCCGTCTCTCTCGGTGGTCTCCCATCCAAGTACAAACCGGCACTGACCCTGCTTAGCTTCTCTGCTCCGATGAGATCAGGCCAGACTGGGCCATCCAGGTTGGGGCTGAGTCTGTAGGAGTCACGTCTTTTCTCTTCTCTGAGTCTGAGCCTGCCTTCCAATATAATAAAAATCAAAGTGTTTTACGGAGGATTCCCAGGAGACCTCCCATCCAGGCACTGACCCAGACTGGGCTTCCCTTCAGCCAGGTCACTGCAACAGATGCCCTCTCGTCTTAACTTTGGAACCAGCCTCAAAGAACATGCCACACAACTAAAGGCCATCAAGGTTCTGCTTTAAAATATTGCACGCTGGCGCAATCTGACACAATCCTGAACACCCTGCCTACACAAGGGCTTGGAGGAAGCCACTATCTTATCTTGATTTTCACATCTGGTTTACGTCAGATTTAAAAAAGCTTCTCTGCCATTCCACCAGCAAAATACGACCGCTTTAAAATGCCGTTTCCCAGGGAGAATCAGCAGGGGCGGGAGAGATTAAGCACCCTTCTTGGCTGCCTGCCAATCTGGAATTAAAAGCCACGTTTTTGCAGAGATAACGTCCTGTTTCGTTCTCACAGCCGCTAGCCAATTTTCATCTCTTTGAAATTAAAAAATTCACTGGCTTTCTGCAAGCGCGGTGGTATCATTAGGAAACATCTCTCCTGAATGTATCCATGCGAGCATATTTACAAAACTCCCCTAATCAGAAACCAGGTAGAAAATTAGTAGAAAAATAGAAGGGAACTGATCTGGTTTATTAAGGCACAGTTTGAATTAGCAATAAAGACAAATTCAGCGTTCAGCTCTAGTGCTCCATCAGGCACCCACGGGCTCACAAACCAATACCTACAGCTACCCGCGGAAGGTGTCTCTGTTCCTCCGGCCCGTAGATGCCAGGTGGACGAATAACACATGTATGAAGTTTATCCCCTCCTAGGAGAAGAACAGAAAAAATAACATTCAGATGAGTAGTCGGGTTGGTCTGAAGACGTGTGCGTGCACACAAAAGCTTATGCCTAGAATTAAACTTTGTCGGTCTTAAAGGTGCCACTGGACTCAAACTTTGTTCTAGAAAAAAATAACAGAGGTCCCGGTCACACAGGCTGGAAAATGCGAGGGTGGGGAGCGTTCCTGTTTGCCCCGGAGCAAAGTAATGCGTAGCAGTCCGATCACATGTCCCGTCGAGGTCCCATGGTTAGGCCGTTAGGTGCCAATCACACGGCTATCCTGCAGCGCAGCAAAGAAGTGGCATGGCACGATCACACTGGCAATCGCTAGGCGCCGCTTCCATGGCAAACTGGAATTTTTTTTCACACTGAAATTTGCGTATGCGCATGATTGTGCGCATTCTGTTGAGACTTACCAAAAAAACACACCATCCGGTGTGTGACAGGACATGGACGGGCGCCAGATGCCACGGGATTCAAACGGAAACGTGATCAGACGGCTGCCCTTGCCCTCGCGTTTTCCAGAAACTAGTACATCGTATGTGGTAGTTTTTTACTCTGCATCTTCGGCGAGAAGCCACGGGTTAGCCACAGGTGTACTACGCTTCCCAGATGTTGCGGTGTGATCGCGCCCGGAAAATCCGCCTATCATCCGTGTCTTTAGCACGGCAACTTCTCCGTGTGAACGGGACCAGAGATGATTCTGCCCAACAAGGGGCTGGGTTGGATGATATGGTCACGGGTCACTCCCCTGCACACTGTGGCAAAGGGGACAAGATGAAAGCCCTTTCAGATGTTACATCCACATGCACTGGGAGTTCAGCCACTGTGCATATCAGGAGCACTTGCTACCTACAATGCTTCTGATTATTGGCAGAGTAATTAACACAGCAACGGAGCACAACCTGATTAAAGAGTAGATAAAGATTTAGGAATTAACATACTTGATAGGAAAGAGGAGAGACAGAGGTTCTGAACTTCATCTCTATCTGAAAGAGAGGATATGACTGAGGGTGGCACTTTCAAGAAGCAGGGGGAAATTGCCCTAAGAGCAATAATCTGGAGAGAGACAAGGAATGACACTTAATAGGAGAGAAGGTGCTGAGCTCACTATCCTGTCTAATTGTCTTCTTCTTGTCCCCTATAGGGTCTCCTTCTCTCCTTCTTTGTACACCAGACATTGTCTTTTCCAATACTCCTTTCTCAAGGTCTAGCATACGAAGTCCACAAGCGGTTTTTCTTCTCTGCTACACCATTCTGTTCTGGCATGTATGGGGCTGTAAGCTGATGCTCTATACCTTGTTCAGCTAAATAATTCTTCATTTCATGTCCCACGTATTGTCTTCCATTATAAGTGCAAATTGCTAGTGGATTTCTTTGAAATCTGTTACTGACCATTGCCACATATGCTTTACATTTTTCTAGCACTTGACTTTTCTCTTTAATTAGGTAGGTCACAGTATATCTTGAAAAGTCATCAATAAAACTCAGCACATGTTTATTCCCATTAGGGGGTTGAGTTTTCTTTGGTCCACAGACATCACTGTGTATCAGCTCTTGGGGTCACTTCATCTGCCTCATCTCATGCCTTTTGTTAAAGCTGGGTCTCACCACCTTCACTTGAATGCAATGCATACATTTTCCTTCAACAGTAAATTTGCTTTAGTTAAATTCTGGCTTTCAAGTTGGCTAATTGCATAATTGTCTCTGTGTCCCAACCATCTGTGCCATAGTCAAGAGCAGGGGTCATTTGGGGGGGGACGCGGGGGGACGCCATCCCCCCGGGTGAGGTGCGGGAGGGCGGGGCCTGGAGCTCCCTGCTGGTGCCCGCTGGAAGTCGCCACCGGCTGTGGGGAGGACACACTTCCGGTGATGTCAGGGGGAGTGGCATATGCTAATGAGTTATGCTAATGAGTCCCCCTAGCTCTTTTTCTACGAAATGACCCCTGGTCAAGAGCAATTCTCGTGATCACGATGCTTGGAAAAGTTTGCTTTCTGCATGCACGTCTCAAGAGCATATAAGTCCTGATGCACTTTGCCAGCTGCAATTAACTGTCCCCTCTGTCCGATACAGCATTTCCCCCAAAAAGATGTAATCATGCCTTTCTTTGTGAGTACTCTCACAGAAATAAGATTTCAGTAGCACCTTAAAGACTAACAAAATATGTGGCAGGGTATTTCGTGATTCACTGCTCACTTCTTCGGATACAGCTAGAATGGGAGTCCATCTGTTTCATTTATTGGAAAGTGGAATGATTTCAGATGCTGAATGACATTAGCAGGCAAATGACAATACCCGGTGATTGACAATAGCAGGCATGATTGGATTTAGATGAGATATGCAGGGGGGTAATAGCGTGGAGAAAATCAGCATTGGTAATGAGACGTCTAAATCCAGTCATGGCAAAAACAACAGGCAGGGCAAATGATGACATCAACGATGCTACCCCTTCCCAGGCTCTCCCTCCTGTGCTCTTGGGGGTTGACTGCCCCTGCGTTACGGTGTTCTGTGAAAAAGAGAAAAAGAACTCTGCACAGGCCCAGATGCTTTCTCCTCTGTATTATTTTAATACAACCATTTCAGGACTGGGCCCTCACCTGGAAAGCAGAGAGTTTCTAATTTCTAGACATCATAATTGAAAGTTGGTCACAAAATAATCCCAGTGGTAATGTATGGCTGCGAGAGTTGGACTATAAGGAAGGCTGAGCGCCGAAGAATAGATGCGTTTGAATTACGGTGCTGGAGAAGACTCTTGAGAGTCCCTTGGACTGGAAGGAGATCTAATCAGTCAATCCTAAAAGAAATACTTTGGCCACCAAGTGAGAAGGGAGCACTCACTGGAGAAGACCCTGATGTTGGGAAAGATTGAAGGTCAAAGAAGAAGGGGACAGCAAAGGATGAGATGGTTAGACAGTGTTATCTATGCGGTGAACATGAAATTAAGCAAACTCCGGAGCACGACAGAAGACAGGAGGGCCTGGCGTGATATGGTCCATGGGGTCATGAAGAGTCAGACTCGACTGTGCGACTGAACAACAACAACGAACCTTTAAGAGGTGTCCCATCAGCAGCCAGTATCATCTGATCAGCAACTGCTTTGGTTCTCGAATAATGGTCGGTGTGCTAAAAGAGAGACAAAGCAATCCATGTCACTGTTCAATAATAATAAAACTTAGAGCTGTGGTCATCTACCAACAGGGTGAGGAATACCTTCTCCAGTGGAAAATATGGCACCGTTTCCTCGTCACCTTCTTCAATGGGGTTCCCTCCAAATACAACATTCACTGAACTGGTGTATATCAGTCTGGAAATGTTCCTTTGCTGGCAAACTGTATGGAAAAGACAAATGAATCTGGAGAGAAAGTTTATATCGTGAATAAAGCTTTGTAGGTCTTTAGGATGCCACTGGACTCCAACTTTGTTCTGCTACTTCAGACCAACATGAATCAATCTGGAGAGTAAAGTTATCAGTTAATCTAGGTAAACTAAAGTAAAGGTTCCCTTGCTCGAAAGCCAGTCGAATCTGACTCTAGGGTTGTGGTGCTCATCTCCGTTTCCAAGCCGAAGAGCCAGTGCTGTCTGAAGAAGTTTCCGTGGTCATGTGGCCGGCATGACTAAACACCAAGGCGCACAGAACGCTGTTACCTTCCCACTGAAGTGGTACCTATTTATCTACTTGCAATTTCTTGCTTTCAAACTGCTAGTTTGGCAGGAGCTGGAATTAGAGACGGGAGCTCACTCTGTCATGCGGCACACTCGGGTCTCGAACTGCTGAACTACTGACCTTCCACAGCCTGCAGTTCAGCGTCTTAACCACTTGAGCCACCGCAGCTCCTATCAGGGAATCTAGGGGGGCTGAAAACACACGTGGTTTCATGTTCTGCTAAAAGCAGCTGGGCCATAAACAGGAAGCCAGGCCACTCCCTTGCATTCCAATCCACACAATTATATTTTTCTTTCCAAGTCATTGCATTCAAAAGAGACATCCTTTCTTAAGTAACAACAAAGTCCACTGAGTCCAATACAAACTTACATGGCACCCCTTCCAATCTGACTCTGAAAGCTAGCACCCTGAAGGTAGGGCTGCCAACTCCAGCTTGGGAAATACCTAGAGATTTTGGAGGTGGAGCCTGGGGAAGTCAGGGTTTGGGGAGGAGTAATTCGGTTCCCTGCAAGGCCTGTAAGAAAACTGAGCTACATACCCTTGATGATGATTTTTGTCCCTCCCACGTTTATGGATTCAATCAGCTCTTTACGTTGTAGCTAGAAAGGAAAAGGGATCACATTGGAATCATTGTTCATTCATAGAATCATAGAGTTGGAAGGGCCATACAGACCATCTAGTCCAACCCCCTGCCCAATGCAGGACCAGCCTAAAGGATCTCTGACAAATATTCATCCAGCCTCTTCTTGAAAGCTGTCAGTGAAGGGGAGCTCACCACCACTCTAGGCAGCTGATCAGCAGTTCACATTCACTACTCAGGGACTGCAAAAAGCCAAAGTCTCAATCCTCTGGAGTAGAAATCTAGTGGGAAATGACATGTGCCTGGAAGGTGTAAAACTCCGATCACACATCTGGGACAAAGGCCTCATGTTGTCAACTGCAGGCACAATGACTTTGCAATGTATACAGTCATCCTGTGTGTGCAGTTAAGGGGCAAATCCCAGGATCGGGTCCAAACAGTCCATCTTCCCTAAACTGTATCCTTTCCTTTTCAGAGGCCCTATGATCAGATGATCTTGAGCAATGACTAAAAAGAATAATACATTATTTACTAAAGGAAAATATATTATACAGAAATTTGGAGACCAAGGAGGTTGTATTTGAATGCAGGCTTTGGTCTTCCAGACTGGGGAACATATTATAAAGCCTGTGCATTGACATGGATTAAAGAATGGATAAGAATGGAAAATACTAGATTACTAAAATTGGAGGGACATGATTTAAAGCTAGGATGGCATGCCTATCTTTGGTATCAAAAAGCAGACAATCACAAATATTTTAAAAGTCATTTGGTGAAGAAAGCACTGCTGTTAATATGGGAAATAATCACACATAAAATATATGTGAAGATCCCGAAATGGGTCTCTCCGGTGGAAGCATTTACTCAACCTATATTATTGGAGAAGAAAAAAGTAGCTAGATATGAAGATTTATTAGGAAAGGAAGATAGGTTGAAGTCCAAAGAAGAATTAGAGGAACAAGATATATATTTGGATTGGTGAACAAGAGTACAGTTAGAATCCAGATATGCTGAAGATAAACCTCAGGGGTTTGATGCAGAACAATCAGCGTTTGATACACTTTTATGAAACAAATGATAAATTAATTTTATGGGTATTGGTTACCGATAAAGATGGAGGATGAGGTGATTAAAGAATGTATGATAAAATGGGCCCAAAATTTTAGCTATAATATTGATCTTGATCATTGGTTGCAAATATGGAAAACAAATGTTAAAATAACAAAATCAGTTGCTTTTAAAGAGAATGTATATAAAATGTTCTATAGGTGGCATATAACGCCAGAGAAATTAGCTAGAATGTAGCCCGGAATGTCTGACAAATGCTGGAAGCGTAAGATACGAGTGGGAATCTTTTTTCATGTTTGGTGGTAGTGTAAAGAGGTGATGTTATATTGGAGAAGGATTCATGAAATGTTATAAAAAATAGGTTTGATATCGTTACCATTTAAACCTGAAATGTTTTTGCTTAATATTATGCCTGATGTAAAAGATAAGAAAGTTACGCACTTAATTATACATATAGTTACAGCAGCAAGATTTTTTTATGCTAAGTACTGGAAGAAATCAGAGATACCAATGGAAAATGAACTTTTGACAAAAAAAAATTGAAACAGAAGAAATGGATATATTGTCGGACTTATTAAAAGACCGAAGCAAACGAAATGTGAGGGACAACTGGATACCATTCTATGACTGGGTGGAAAGAAACTTCGAAGACCAGGAGTAATGGATACAATTATTATAGACTTAGAGAAACTCTAACTTGAACTGTAAAGAATCTGACTTTTTTCAGGAATCACAATAGTGTCAGGTTTAACAGCATGCAAATCTCCACACACGTTTCCAGGGAATCGTTATGCTTCATTAGACTATAGGTCCGTTGTCATGGTCTACAGGTATAGTGTTAGGAATGACAATGGGGCAGATGCATCACTACATATAACATGATGCTGCAATTGGCTAAGCAAATGAAATCCAAGCACGCGCGGGGGAATTCTCCCGGCGGGAGGTTACATAATGAACGGGAGATTCTCTGTGCTTCATGAGAGCAGAAATATTCACACCAACAGTGGAATGCAAGCCCTGCCTCCTCCTCAAGTTTAGTCAGATAACCGTGTCTGGCAGCGCCAGTTCGCACGGTCTCATGAGCGCCTCCCTATCGCTGTTTACAGCAAGCGAGCAAGCATGTGCAGTCATGCCACAGTCAGGAAAGGACAAAAAGAAGTGAAACATGGCAGCTAGCTGACATCTAGAAGGTTTTAGCAAATTGATTGTGTTACTAGTTTTAGTAATTATATAAATTAAAGAGATCTGGAAACAAATATTTATTTATTCCATTTATACCCCGTCCTCCCCGTGAACATGCTCAGGGCGGCTTACATTGGTCGGTACCCAGTACCATAAAACCATATTAAAAAGTTAAAAGATTGTAAACATTTAGAACAATCAGATAATCAAAGTGCTAGTAATAGAATGAAGATGGTAAATTTGTAACAGCTTGTACATAAATTTGATGGAATTTCCCATGATGTCTTATCCCATCCCCTGTACCCTTACTGCCCTATAATGTGTTAAAACTAAATAAAAATTTATAATAAAAACCCCCAAGTAGGTTGTATTTGGGTAAGACACAGGGAGGGTAAAACAAACTTGATCCAAAAACTGGAATCAAGACCCACAAGGGTAAGAAAGAAGTCTGATAAAGGGTCAGTATTAAAAACCTAGTTAAAACTTATAATATACAAAAATGCATGTACTTATTAGAAAGACAATGAAAGCCTCGTTCAAGTGGCCTAAACACAAGGGCCAATACACATGACCTGACACGTTTCCGCCCTATTGGGGCCTTCTTCAGAGGTTAAACAGTATTGAGGTACACGTAACAATAATACATATTACAATAAGATAGCCAATAAGTTAATACTGGACCAAGAAAAGGAAGGTTAAGCAGCAAAATCTATAGACACAAGACAAAGATGTTTGTGAGGCCTCTAAAGATGAAAGTCATGTGTCCGGTGCCAAATGCACAGCTGCTGAATTAGAACATCTTCCAATTTAGGTCCACCTGTGTGGCTATCTTAGTCAGAGCTAGAGTGTCCTCAAGCAAATAGCAGGGTCACTGTCTGCATCAGATAGGGAATATTATCTCCTTGAAGTTTATTAAATGACATGCGTGGTAAAAGCAGTGAGATCCAGCAGTTCCTAAAAGTGGGGGGAAACTAACATTCCAATATCTTGTGAGACAGAGTGTCAATTTTACCCTGACCACAAGGGCAGAGATGATCTGAATATGGAATGCGACGAAACCTGGTCTGTAATACATCGGAGGGGATAGCATTAAGGCGAGCTAAAGCGAATGCCCTAAAAAGGTGAGGGGACATTAGGTGTCTCATGTATAACAGCACAGTCATGTATAACAGCATGTATAACAGCACAGTAAAATACCAAAAAATTGACTTCAGCAGACTCTGCGAGAGTGAACCATCATACCATTGTAATCCTGCTCTGTAAGGTGATTCTGGACAAGTGAAAGGGCCTTTGCCTTATCTAGCAAGAAGATATCTCCAGTTATAAGCCCTAGCTGCCTTAATCGGGCATCTACTGTCTTCACCCATCGAGAACAGCAGACTGTCAGCTTCCGAAGCAAAAATAATCCTTAGCCTTAGTTTGAATGCTCTGAGCCATGCTCTGGCTTGCAATGACTTTTGGTCGAGTTCAGCTCTGAGAGATACATCTGAGACACAATGAGGGACTCCCCATTATCCTACACAGAAACTGACACAGGGGATGGTTAAAAGATTCTGAGGTCACCGACATCCAGATAGCGACCCCATATAGTGACTGGGGTGTTATTTTAGAACTGAACACCTGAAATTGCACTGGGGATATATTGTCCTCCCCCTGTAAAGATATGGCTTCAGTAGGAGGCTTGATCTTATTCAGAGCAAACTTCCGCTGGTGAGACCAGGAGAGGTTTGAAGAGAAAACAGCCCCCAGGTAGCAGAAATTCCTGACTTGTTCAATATCTGAGTTTGCTATAGTCCATTTGGAATGACCCAGGGTGCTGGTTTTAGGAAAAAACAAGATTTTTGTTATAGTTTATTTTCAACTCCTCATTTAGGCAACAATTTGAGAAACATCTCAGGAGTCACGTCAGGCCAACCTTGGTGTGAGAGATAAAAACTGAATCATCGGCATACAGTAGCAAGGGTAGTTCTTTCGAAGCTAATCTGGGGGTAAGGCACTCTGGAGAAGAAAGACTTAACATCAGGTTATTTAGGTATAAATTTAAAAGAAGGGGAGACCACCTTGAGTCCCTGAATGCTTTTTGGGTGTGTGCAAATGCCTTGAGAGCGATGTTGACTTACTTGCTCTGATCCTGACATGCCGTATGATGCGACGTGGAACACGCAGTCCACCCCTTCGCAGGCTTTGAACACAGCCTCATAATCTCTCACATCTCCCTGCAATGGAATCCGTAGCAAAGAGTTGCAATTAGAATATTTATCGCAGTATCTCTTTAGGATGATCACATCATATTAGCAGCCCACTCACCCGCTGTGCAAGTGCTCTCACGATAGAAACACAGAGATGGAAGGAACCCCATGGGCCATCTAGTCCAACCCCCTGCACAATGCTGCAAATTCACAGCTACCTCCCCCTCCCCACTCCCCCAGTGACCCCTGCTCTATGCCCAGAGTACATCACTGCAGGATTTCTTACAATGCACTGTATTAAACCTCCCAGAGACCAGGGCTGGCTCGAGGTGTTTCTGCGCCCTAGGCGAGGCTGCCTTATGGCGCAGATGCCAACCTCCTGGTGGGGCCTAGAAACCTGGAGACCTCTGGAGCCAGCCACCCTTTTGCTGCCGCCGCCACCACCGCCTCCCCCGCCGCCACCACCACCACCAAAGGGGGGGAGGAGGGGGGAGACACAGCTTGGCGCCCCATCCAGGGCCCGGCGCTCTAGGCGAATGCCTAGTTCGCCTAGTGGGTGAGCCGGCCCTGCCAGAGACGGTGGCAGCCATCCTGCGTCTTCTTTATCCCCCCCCCTTTCTTTTTTCTGTATGTGGGGTGAGTTCCCATGTTGCTCTTCTTACCACCCCAGCAGGCTTTCTGATAGGGTGTTTTCCTTAAAAATAAAATCCAGGTATATTCCTATGTGGTTTTAACACTGATGATTTTTTAAAAGTGGCAAAAAGCTTGTCGGTGGTGAGAGGAGGAAATGCTGGATGTTTTCAGGAAAGTATGGAAATCCAGATAAAAGCTAACTGCAGAAGCCCAGAGGACAGAAATCTGTGGATTCGCCCCATCAAATAGGAAATGAAGGGGTCTGTGTTACTGCCTCTATACTAATTCCATAAACACTTGGGATCCAAACCTTGCCCTGAACCTCATGCTTAAGAACATCAGAAGAGCCCTGCTGGATCAGACCAGTGGTCTATCAAGCTCAGCCTCCTGACTCACACAGTGACCAACCAGTTCCTCTGGAGGGCCAACAAGAGGGCATAGAGGCTGAGGCCTTCCCCTGATGTTGCCTCCTGGCTCTGGGATTCAGAGGTTTAGTGCCTCTGAATGTGGAGGTTCCCCTCAGCCACCATGGCTAGGAGCCATTGATAGACTTATCCTCCACCAAACTGTTTAATCCCTTTTTAAAGCTGTTTATTCCTGTGGCTATCACTACATCCTTTGGCAGTGAATTCCATATTTTAATCACTCTCAGTGTAAAGTTGTATTTCCTTTTGTCTATCCTGAACCTATTGCCCATCAATTTCATTGGATCCCCTTGACGTTCTAGGATTTTGGGAGAGGGATAAAAATTTATCTTCGTCTACTCTCCCCAACCCATGCATAATTTTATAAACTTCTATCATGTCCCCCCTTAGTTGTCTCTTTTCTAAACTGAAAAGTCCCAGACTCTTCAACAAACTTTCCTCATAGGGAAGGCATATCAGCCCCTTTTTGAGATATGGTGGCCAGAACTGTACTCAGGCCCCGGGCACACGGGCCGGCTGAAACGCGGCTACTCAGAGCCGCTCCAAACTTGAGACGCCGCGGCGGGATCCCACGGATCCCCTAGCCGCGGCGCAGCACTCCCCGGCACGATCAGATGCCGGGGAGGAAAAGTCCGAGGGGAGGGGGGAGGCTGCCGAACTGCGCATGCTCGGGCATGCGCAGTACGGCTGGGGGCCGGGATGCGGCGGCGCAAGGACGCGCCGCCGATCCCACAGCCCTGCCTGAGCCGCACCAATGGATGCAACCACCTAGAGAGGTGGTTGTTTTTTGCGGTGCAGTATGGGCAGTTGGGACAGATCAGGGACGGAGACGGCACGCTCGCCAGATGTTGAGGTGAGATCGCGCCTGTTTGCTCCGCCCCAGTTCCGTCCCGCTCCCGGCCCAAATGGGCTCGTATGAACGGGGCCTCAGTATTGCAAATGAGGCCGCACCATAGATCTATACAGGAGCATTACAATATTGGCCTTTTTATTCTCAATCCCTTTCCCTAATAATCCCTAACCATAGAGTTTGCCAGGTCTTTTTTTCTGGGGGAACATGCTGGAACAGAGTTCCGGAGCCTCTTCGACAAAATTCTTTTTAAAACGTTTAAAATTTAATGAGTTTTCAGTATGCGGATAGAAAACTTCATTTCCCTCTTGAGAGTTCCAGCACCTTAAAAAAAAAAAAAAAAAAGCCCTGGAGTTTGTCTTTTCACTGCAGCAGCACACTAGGTTGACACTTCCATTGAGTTAAACCCTATGACCCCAAGATCTTTTTGCCTCTCAGTCTCAGAAAGTTCAGACCCCACTAGCCTATACTTGAAGCTGGGATTTTTTTGTCCTTACCCCTACCAACACTGAATATTTGCCACACTGTCGCCCACTCACCCAGTTTGCGGAGGTCCTCTTGGAGCTCATCACAGTCAGCCCTGGTTTTCACCATCCTGAATAATTTTGTGTCATCTGCAAACTTGGCCAGTACTCTACTCACCCCTAGTTCTAGATAAAATAAATAGTACTGGCCCCAATACCGATCCTTGTGGGACCCCACTGCTTACTTCCTCCCATTGTGAGAACTGTGCATTGATTCGTATTTGTTTTCTCTCATTTAACCACTTTTTAATCCATAAGAGAACCTGTCCTCTTATCCCATGATTGCTAAGTTTACTCAGGAGTCTTTGGTGAGGTACTTTATCAAAAGCCTTTTGATAGTCCAGGAATATAATGTCTACCGGGTGACCGTTGTCTACATGCTTGTTCACTTTCTCAAAGAACTCCACAAGGCTGGTGAGGCAGGACTTCCCTTTGCAGAAGCCGTTCTGATTTTCCCTCAGCAGGCTTTGTCCCTCTATGTGTCTTACAATTCTATCTTTGATTACAGTTTCTACTAGTTTGCCTGGGACAGACATTAGGCTGAGTGGCCTGTAATTTCCTGGTTCTCCTCTGGGTTCCTTTTTAAAAATTGATGTAACATTTGCTACTCTCCAGGCTTCTGGTACAGCAGCTGAAATTAGTGACAGGTGACACATACAGGAACTCTGGTGTATGCCATCAAGACCTGGAGATTTATCAGTTTTTAATTTCCCCAGTAGGTCTAGAACTCCATCTCTGGTCACATCAATTTGGCTCAATTCTTCAGACTCCTTTCCTGAAAACAGGGGCTGTGGCAGGGGTATGTACCCTACATCCTCAAAGTCTCTTTTTGCATGCCTGTTTATTGACTTTCATTTCTTTTGCCAGAGCCTGTGAGTCCCTCCTGTTCAATGCATTGGGGCAAACCTTCCACTTTTTAAAAGAAGCCTTCTATAGCTTCCTTGACTTGCATTGGTAACCACGCAGGCCTTCTTTTAGACCTGGCAGTGCCTTTCCTAACCTGTGGACTGCATTCTATTTGGGCTTCAATTAGTGTGGTTTTAAATCGCTTCCAAGCATCCCCTAGGGAACTGGCTCTCTAGTGTTTCCCCTTCAGCTTCATTTTCACTATTCCCTTCACTTTTGTAAAGTTCCCTCTTTTGAAATCAAATGTTACAGTTTTGGAATTTAAGGGTAACTTTCCATTGACTGACTGCTGAACTTGATAGCATTGTGGTCACTATTCCCAATTGGTGTAACAGCTCCTACATCTCTCACCAGGTCTTGAGACCAGCTCAGAACCCAGACCAAGATCACTACCCCTCTGGTTGGCTCTGTGACCAACTATCCCAGTGCACAGCCATTGATGAGGTCTAGGAATCTCACTGAGAATGCTTCTCTATAGACAGTCTCTATAGGACCTGGTGCACACCCACTATCACATACCTTAAGCATCAATTAAGTTATTTTTCAAAGATGCTTCTTGTGAAAAAAATTTCTACAAAGTTGCTGAGTCCAAAACAGAAGAACAGTCCAGAGTAAGTTTTCGATTAAAATTATGGATGCCATCTGGAGAGTATTAAATTAAGAATAACTGATTTGTTGATTTTAATCTGTAATTTTGTATTGTTTTTAACCTGTTGTAAATTGCCAGGAGCCTTGTATACTCAGGGACTGGGCAATACAGAAATTTAATAAATAAATGAACAAACGCTATGATTTTGTGACCTCAGCAATTCGGGAGGCCAAGTTTTCTGTTTCAGCTCTCCCCACTGCCACTACACTGGGTGGCTGGGAAACGTTCGGGGGGAAACGGTGGGTGATTGGTGTCATGGGTGATGCCATCCTGTCACTCCCAGCATGACCCAGAAGTGGCATCCAGGCAGGCAACGCTCTAGCATTCACCCAAGACTGAGTTTTGGGCAAATGCTAGAGCGTCGCCTCCTGCATGCTGTAACTTCCAATTTGTGTTGGAAGTGATGTCACCACATCATTTGTGACATCACGTTGCCAGCTAGTCCCCCCATGGAAGTCTCCAGCCTATGAACAACAGCCATTAATTGCACATGACTACTAAATGAACCCTAATTTGGATTGCCAGGCACCATCTGTACTCCATCGGGAACAGAAACCGGGGGGGGGGGGGGGGAGCAATGTTGCGCAATAGTGCAACATCACTTCCGATGGTACCCAGTGAGATCGCAATGTTGTAGGAATTCCCTAAATATCTATGGTAGATTCAAGGGATTCCTAGAGTGTCGCAATGTCACTTTCATATCATGACATGGCTTTCCGATCCCCATTTTGGCTCCTCCTGGAGTGCAAGGATGGGAGCCCATGAAATGGCAACCCTACTCCAGACCCAACTTGTGTGCTCCATGACATGTGAATCGGCGCTTTACCTGGAAAAATACTGCCCGATTGGGAACTTTCCATCGAGGTTTCTGTCTGTCAAACAAAACAACATTGATGTCTTCACTGGCGAGGGCGCAGCCCAGGTGGTAGCCAAAGTAGCCCCCTCCTCCGGTTATCAATGCCTTAGCCATTCTCTTCTGCAGCGGTCCAACGTGCCCATTAAGTCTGCAATCCGAGGCCTGGCTGCAGTGGGGCACCACTCCATTGGAACGGGTTCGGATCACGTCCCCAGACTGAGACACCATTTTGAGGGCCTTCTTCCCAATTCTCGAGGTTGCCCTGCAATTCTAACGTGCTACACAGCAAACCTCCATCCACAACCACGAAGCCAGTCTATCTCTTAGCCTGTGGAAGAGGCACAGAAATGACAGCTGATTAATTTCGTTAACAGTCAACACGCCAAAAAACTGTTCATTAGCAAATCTTTGTACCAGTTACAGCATATTAATTCTAGGCAAAACTGATCACGCAGAAATGATAAGTATATACTTGAAATTATATTGTATGTCTACAGAACACAAAGGAATTACCATTATCTAATGTGGAAGATTGTCTTACTTAAAACAAAAAATTCAAACTGAACCTCCAAATTGCCCATGGGAAAAAATTGAAAATCACCCTGTAGTTTGGGAAGGGGACATCTTCTCACAACACCCCCCCTCCTGCATTTACATTTCTAAACAGAAATCCAGTAGCACAACATATATTCCAGTATAAATTTTTGTGAGCCAGAATAAATTGTTAGTCTTCAAGGTGCCACTGGACTGTTGTTTTGTTTTGCTACAACAGACTAACACAGCTATCCCACTAGAACTTCATATTTCTCCCCAGGATCCACCTCGTAGCCAAAAAGAGACTGGAGCCCTGGTCTTCCAGTTTAACCAATACATTATACTGGCCCAACTTCTCAAGAGATGTTGGGATTTCATATCATGGGATCATGCGCGATTAAAGAATCAGTTTATTGAGCAGTAATATTGTGAGGCTACAAGATCTGAACATGTTTCAGGGTCCTAGCCTCCTCCAGACAGGACTACCCAATGCCACCATGACACTCCCAAACAAAGATTTGAAACTGAGACCAAACCCAATTAGGTTTACCAACCTTTAGTTTCAGGCCTGGAGAGGGTGGACTCTATGGTATTATACATAGCTGAGGTGAGTCCCCTCCCCAAACCCCGCCCTCCCAGGGTCCACCCCCAGATCTCCAGGAATTTCCCAACACAGAGCCAGCAACTCTAAAGGTGAGAAGGGATACGTTGCCATGGGGCCTACCCTCCAAAGTAGCCATTTTCTCCAGGGGAACTGGGTGTCTGGAGATCAATTGTGACTCCAGGGGATCCCTAGGCCCCAGCTGGAGGTTGGCAACCTTGCTTGGTGTCCATCCTCCCCCCTGCTTCACTGCAGCATCACCCTGAACACACTTACCCATTTATCTCCCCCCCCCTCCAAAAAAAATCTGGGCCTCAAAAGACCCAGAAAACCTATTTACCAAATCTGGATTTCCTTGCATACGAGTGTCCGGAAAAGGCGATATTCTTAATTAAGAGGGCTTTTGGAACAGAGTTGATGAGCAACGGACTCCCCAAAGACTCCCTACGATTAGAGTCATATCTACAAGCCCAAAGGGTACGTGATTGGTTTTATATCAGTTCAACTGTCATGGCTTCTTCAAGGAATCCTGGGAAGTGTAGTCAGATGCTGAAAGCGTTAAGAATTCCCTGGCAATGAAAATTCCCAGAGTTCCCTGGGAAAGGGAAACGACCAATCCAAAGGTTGAAAGCTGATGGCCTTTTATGTCCTCTTATGTACCTTTGTTAGGGAATAGAAGCCCCACTGGATTTGGCGGGTCTTACTTGAGAACAGGCCCTGCACGTTTCCACAGCAGCTATGGCCTTGGTTAAAACGTCAGAACAGCATATGTTGTATGTAAAATTTTGCTGAGGATTTGAGAGATACACTCTTTATGGAAAAGAGGATTCTGAAGTATAAAATATTTATTGAAAACTTACAAAGAGGCGTCGAGTGATGAGCCCCCTTCCCTGACCTGTGCGGGAAACCCAGGCTCCTGCTAGTCCTATATTTTATGACAGGATATTGCCATTTCTACTGGGCTTTATGGAGTTGCCCTGTATCTCTTGTACTGGAGCCAGTTTGGCGTAGAGAGCCAGTATGGAGTAGTGGTTAAGAGCACAGACTCTAATCTGGTAGAACCGGGTTTGATTCCCCACTCCTCCACATGCAGCTGCTAGTGTGGCCTTAGGTTAGTCATAAGTTCTTTCAGAGCTGTTCTCTCAAGGACAGTTCTCGGGAGAGCTCTCTCAGCCCACCTACCTCACAGGGTTTCTGTTGTGGGGAGGCGGAGGGAAAGGAGGTTGCTCTGAGACTCCTTTGGGTAGTGAAGGGCGGAGTATAAATCTAATCTCTTCTTCTAGGGTCACCAACAGGTTGGGAAATAGCTGGAGATTTGGGGGTGGAACCTGGGGAGGTCAGGGGTTAGCAAGGGGTGCAATCTGAGCAAAGTATAATGCCACAAAGTCCACCCTCCGATGCCATTTTGTCCGGGGAAAGTGATAGCTGTTGTCTGGAGAGCAGTTGTAATTCCAGGGGATTTCCAGGTTGGGTAGTTAGCTCTGAGTTGGGAAATATCTGGAGCTTTGGGGGCGGAACTTCAGGAGGATGGAGTTTGGGAAGAGGAGGGACTTTTATGCGGTATAATGCCACAGAGTCCACCTTCCAAAACAGCCATTTTCTACAGGCAAACTGATCTCTGTGCCTGGAGATCGGCTGTAATCCCAGGAAATCTCCAGCCACCACCTGGAAGTTGGCAATCCTATTTCCAGGCCCTACCTGGAGATGGAATTGGAGACACTTTGGCACTTCCCCAGGGGCTGTTCCCCCCAAAATAGACCATCTTGTGGCCCCTTAAAGAGTGAAAGCATCGGGTTTTGTGGACTAGAACCCACTTTGTTCAGAGAAACAGCAGAAGTAACTCAGGAACCGCAGCAAAGAGAGAGAGAAAACAGGACAGTAGTAGAGTGGGTAAGGCCTGCCAGGCAAATTTCCTCAGAGTTCTTTTCATATATCTGAGGCCTGACTTTTCAAGCAAATTTTTATTTATTTGCTTTATTCACTTACTTTATTTATACTGCACCTTTCTCCCCACCAGGTTTGCTAGGTCTTCCACTATAGGGAGAGGTCTTCCACTATAGGGAGAGACCTCCAGGCAAACTAGGTCATTGCCCGCCGGTGATTGAAACACCAGCTGGAGGAAAATGTGCTGGCAATCTGACATCACCTCTGGTGAAAACTGGAAGCTATAGGGAGACTAGGCAAACTAGGTCATCTGACATCACCTCTGGTGAAAACTGGAAGTGGTGTCCTCATGTGTGTGTGGGACGCTCTAGGATTTGCCAAAAACTCTATAGTTTCACCATAGAGGGTTTTTTTGCAAATCCTAGAGTGCCCCCTTATCATGACATCACTTCCGCTGAAAATCACACCAGTGTGATGCTGACGTGCCTGTCCCAACCCCCCAAGTACCCTTGGGGGTTGCAGGCCACAACCTGGCAACCCTAATGGGAACCCAAAGCAGCTTGCTTCACTCTTCTCTCTTTCACTTTATCCATCCTCACAACAACCCTGTGAGGTAGTTTAGGCTGAGGGTGTGTGGCTGTCCCAAAGTCACCCAGCAAGTCCCCATGGCAGAGTGGGGACTTTACCTTGGTCTCCTAGATTCTAGTCTGACACACTAACTACTACACCACACTGTATCCAAAGAAGTGAGCGGTGACTCATGAAAGCTCCTCCCCTGCTACAAATTTTGTTAATCTTTAAGGTGCGACTGGACTCCTGCTCTTTTCCACTATACTACAATGGCACCGAGGGGCCGCTTTGGGACAACAAAATGGAAGGGAAGAAGGTTTGCCTTTGAGTCACCCCTTTGCCCCTGCAACTTCTTCCCACCCAGCTGCTCTTGCCTCCACAGGGCCGAATCATCACCATCATTTATAATCCATCTTTCTTCACATTCATAGCCCCTGCACTCTTGAGTAACTGCGCATAAGATCAAAAATGCATGAGATCAAAATCAAACACTTGCTGGGAAGAGAAAGAGCATGTTGAGAAATCTGGGAAGGGGGGAAAGCAGCCAGGGAACGCTGAACAACATTAAAGAAAATATATTTACTTCTAGGTGGGTCATCAGAATCAAGATATTTTTTCTTTTCTTTTCTTTTTTGAGCCCCCGGAGGGGATTTTTTCTTGATTTTTTTTTTTAACTACAAAAAACTACAACAGAAAAGGGGGTAAGGGAACTACATATATGGGAAAAAGCAAAGTACCCACTACTAACTAAAAACCCAAGAGAGGAGACCCTCCAACTAGCTTTAAAACATCAAGTCTTCTCATCGTTATTCTTTTTATGAACTGAGTCAAACCCTTTAAAAAAGAAAACCTTTTACCCTCCCAGTTTACATTTAACTGCCCAATAACAGTATCCCCAATCATCCCCCAGAACCAAAGTTCTCAAAGTTTCTGTTATCTTGTTACAGAGTCGAACCCTTGCTAGACAGGCTTTGATATCCAATCGCGTCCCTGTGCACACACTCTCTGGTCACGCAATGTGGATCGCTCTTGCTCCCTTCCTCCCCTTTCCCCCTTTCCCCCCCATAGTAAACAAGCAGAAATTATTAAAGTGTTTTAAGAAATTGACAGATTGGGGGGGAGGAACACTCCTTAAAATCTTTTGCACTGGAGTGTAGTACAAAGGGCGGCCTGTAGATCTCAAGCACATAGTCCCAAGATACTATCACAAAGGCCCACAGCGTACTCCATCATTCGTGGCCCTTGGAACGCCTCACCACTTGGAAGTAGGGAAGACTTACTTACTTACTTACTTACTTACTTACTTACTTACTTACTTGGGAGATGCTCGACCAGACCAAGGCCACCCAGCCAGCTTCATGATCGGATTTGACCTGAGTCTCCCAAGCACCTAATCCCAAACTCTAAACAGTACTCTGCTTCTCCAGTTATGGAAGACGGACCTGTCCATACTATGGAAGATGAACTTGGAAGTGGGAGAAGCACATAATCGGGGAGGCGAATGTTCATCTCCTATGTTATGTGTTCCCCACTTTCAAGCAGTGAGAAGTTCCAAGGTCATTCCTTGGAATGAGGGGTGAGGTGTCTGTGGACCTCTCCTTGTTCCCATCTTCACACATGCAGAGAGAGAGAGAGAGAGAGAGAGAGAGAGAGAGA